TATTATTATTATTATTATTATTATTATTATTATTATTATTATCATTATTATTATTATTATTATTATTATTATTATTATTATTATTATCATTATTATTATTATTATTATTATTATTATTATTATTATTATGTAAACTTATACTGATTACCTAAACTATATACTGATTATATAAACTTTATACTGATTATATAAACTATATACTGAGTACCTAAACTATATACTGATTATATAAGCTATATACTGATGACAAAAATTATATACTGATTATATAAACTTAATACTACCGATGATTTGATAGTATGAATCAAATACATAACTGTGTTAATATACATTTAATTTACACACAATACTGGTAAATACTAGAAATAAAATTGGTTCAATAAGCAAACCGCATTTTGTTTCAAACGAATGCATTGATATGTGTAGATTAGATAAATTTTTATACAACAATATACAAACAACACTGCTCTATGGAAAAATACCTGTACAAAATATAAAGAGAAAGCGATGGGCTATGGTATAGTACGGTGACATGAAGCCATAGAACATCCAGAAGCGGTGATATTAACCAACCTTCACTTACAACATAAATGTAGGTCTACATGCACTCACGTTTACTAAGAAAGAAGTGAAGTACGCTCCACCTTCATATAAATGTTGTTATCTATCTTGCATTAATGGGATTAATGTTATTGAAAAGAAAGAAAAATGTATGTGGCCTTGAGATCTATCTTTTGTTTTATTTATTTGGGGGAAATGTGGTAGGCCTAAGGATTGCCGACAGCGCTTAATTACTGTCTTACATGCAAAGTGGCAATCCTTTGCTATAATGATGCTCGACATATACTAACTCTCTCATTATGAGGCTGAGGAAGTGGAGTTGTTTTGCTTTGTCACTGACGAAGAGAGTCAAGCCAATGAGCCTACGTCTTTCCATACATAGGTACAAATACATGAAAAAAGTATGAGATATAGATGTCGGAAAGACATCAGAACACAGGGATAATTTTGCAAATTAGCAGAGGCGACGAAGCCACTTCTCTGTGATCTAGACCTCCCTCTATATCTAGATATAGAGTATATAGATGTGTGTGTATTTTATCATATTATATTTTCATCTGAATCGAGATCCTGCCATCGCTTCCCATAGCATCTATGTGGCTAAATTTTGATATACATAAGTTTTCAAAATCCATTACTCACCATACACAATGTAGTATAAACACTTGACTTGACAAGCGTTTGATCCAAACCAAACAGCATTACAGAACCGTAACAAACGATGCAGCCAACTGCGATCACATTATTAACATTCGGACTGGATAACCTAATTAACCTTGAAATTACAAAAATGCCAAAGATGAAGGAATATAATCGACAGTAAATTTGACAATATTGTTTTTTTGAGTGTTATTACATCCTTTATCCCAATGATCAACGAGAATATTCAATGTTTCAATATTTCCTTACAACTTTAGTGTTGACGAACATTCTTTCTATCTTTCTTTCTTTATTCAATTTCAAATGCCTTACAAAAAAGTGCAATCACATAAAATATTTATAGAATATATATAAAGCAGATGAGGAGCTAGCAAAAACACGGAGTCAATTAACATTAACCGCTAGCCTCCTACGGATACAAAACACATGAAAAAGTTAAAAAAAAAAAAAAAAAACGGATACAAAACACATGAAAAAGTAAAAAAAAAAAAAAAAAAAAAAAGAACAAGTCAATACAAAGACCAACGAAGAGTGGTGGTTCCGCTAAAATTGATAGCAAACGATTACCGGCAGTATTTCTACCGTACACAATAATTCAGGGATGGATTAACAAATCGGAGTCGGAGTGACTCGAAGCCAATGTAAGATAAACAGTCTAAAAGAAAGAAGGATGCTGCGATGTGTCCCCTCATATTGCATAATAGTGGAGTCCAGGGCTTTTTTTTTCCTTTCAGGCTCCGGGATTCTAGGCAACTTGATATCTTATCATCTAAACAGTTTTATGAAATAATTAAACAGTAAGCATTGATCAGAATAATAATAATAATAATAATAATAATAATAATAAGTGAACGTTGTTTTCATTATCAACAATACATGCAGTTCTTGTTTCAGTTATTGTATTGATCTGATATATTATCCTCCTAATCACGATTGAAGCAACTCATTCGAAACGTTGAAGCACTAACAGTAACAACATTTGAGATATATCGACGAGAGTATTGGACTACGAATTTAAAATCAAAATGTGGTATATACGTCGTAATTAACAATAAAACTAAAATGTTGATGTCAAAGTGGGTTCGCCCCTTTCACCACCTTCTGGATCCACCACTCATGTCATAAATCTATGCAAAGTAAAAATGATAATATACAATCATTCATTTCAAAAACAATGAAAATAACAACCTTTAAATACTTAATTTAATAAATTTGTGACCGAAGGATGCCTGAATAAAAATGAATGATTAATTATATAGCTCTCTATATACCCGAAAGCACTACAGGTTATCTTCTTGAAAACGTGCATTTAATTTGACATGGATTTATTAAAAATAAAGATATTTATATTATTTAAACTATGACAACTTGACAATTTGAGCCAGTGAAACCAGAAAACGACGGCTAACCGTATCAGTATTGTATTCATACGAGTGCTGCTCGTGTATTGTTTAATCTATTACTAATAATTTGACAATGTTTAATCTTACTTTCTATTTCTGTTCTTTATATTGAAAGCTAGGAAAGCACATCCGACAATAATCCCAATTCCTGAGATCGATGAGAATATAAAGTAGAGTGTAGGTCTTATGCCGATGTAGACAGTGTTCATAATGGCACCATCAATCGGAGTCGGTCCTTGAAGTAGAATCAATAAAAACTATAAAATAACTCGAATGAAACATGAGTGTTTTATGATCACCTATTGTATTTTTACTCGTTACAAAATTAATCCTATCTAGCTAGCTTGATTTAAGTAAATTTTTAATTCTGACGCTAACAGCGTTGGTTAGTTATCAATTGGTCTTGATACTAAATGATTTTTTTTACTCTATTTAAATCATTAGTTAATGAGATTTCTTATTGTAAATTTTTAATGTTTTACCCGATTAATTGGTGTTTATCCTGTTTTCTTTTTGAATGTTTTTATCTATTCGTGTACTGTAAATTGTCTCTTCCAATCCATTTTTTCGATTGCAATAAAGTTTAATTTGAATTTACGTAATATACTGCATGAACCGTTGAAAGAAATGTCGGCGACATAATTATGTAATTTTAGAAATCAAAAAGAAATCATTAGACATAACGTTATCGACTTGTCTCCACCTACTTTGAAGTGCGCATGCATATTATGTACATAACTCTTACGTGACACCACGCGTACCCATGGAAACATATGAAAGCTTATTATCATTATCACCATAATTATATATCGTTATTAATCATATTATTATCATCATTATCATCATCAACATCATCGAAATCATGATCACTAAAATTTACCTGCAAACGTCAGTCTGTCCTTTGACATCCAGACAAGTTTCTCGGATTGATAGATACCAACCGTCACTTCATTCTCATCTTGTAAAGTAAGAAAAATAATTGATATATTTTGTAAATTAATCCGCCATATTAAATCAATTAATAATAATAATAATATCTGGAATTTATAAGGCGCCAATTCCAAAAATGATCAAAAAAAAAAAATTAATTACGAGCGTACGCTTGTTTTAAGGTATAAAATATTAGTTAAATTTAAAAATAATAATAATATTAATGATAACGAGTTTAAAACTACTTTTTTAAAACTACTTTTTCTTAAGAGCATTACATCACTTTTATTTCATATCTTTACCATACTGCCGGCAAAGACCTACCTATTAGTTGCTCAATTTTTATAGTTCCATACCGGTCTCCATTGATATTAAATTGGATAATGCCCTGTAACAAAGAGAATGCTATTAAATATATACACCACAAGTAAGATTCTGTCCTTTTTGTTGATATCTACCAATGCCGCCTCCATTGGCGTAACGCCATGCGCTCTCGCGCGGCGTTCCGCAGGGCCTCCGACCCCTAGGGGGTGACTATAGGCTCCTCGATCTAGCACTCAAAAGGGCTTTGTTGATACATAACAGCATAATGTGTCTCTTACATCGACTGTTGAACAATGACATATCCAGTGGTGGAATAAAGCCACCCCCGCTTGCATTTAAATATAATAGAGGAAGGCCTAAAAGGAAAATTATATTTAAATTTCAATGAGTCAATGAGTACCCTTTCCTGCTATCTAAAGAGCCATAATCCTCATTTGTTTACCTTCAGCCCCCAACATGGGGCTGAAGTGGTATAGACCACCGTTTTGCAACCTATGGGCCATGACCCAAGAAAAATGTTGATGGGTTGCATTATCACAGTTTACTTAAATTTTACTTAATACGATCGACGACAAACGAAATCAAAATTACAGTAAAAAAACATGCATAAAAGTGCGGCTTAAGGGTCAGTTTACTTTTGTAATGCTTGCGTTATATATATTTTCATGTTCAAAACTATCAAAATATTTGTACGTATACAGGTATGACATCTTGAAAGTTTCAGTTTTGCTTATTTCAAAGTTTTGAATTTTTGAAAATTTTAACATTATTCTCGTCAATAAAATGTGTCTATGTCTTCCAATAACCCACCCATATATTTAAGATTTTTTGTAATGAAACGGCTGTAAACCTATTGAAAGATTTGATAACTTAGTAGTTCTAAGATTAATTCCAAGTTATATTAATTTCACTTTTAGGGTAATTATATAGATATATTTTGCGCTGGGTGATATGTAGAGGCTTATGAATGAAGTAGTATCTTTTAATTGGCTAATAAAATAATCAAGTTGACTTGGTTCTTCTGATGTCCGTTATTCCTCTCACATATAAAATGACGGACGTAATTTCAGTTAGACCAAAAAAAAGAAGAGGCCCCGGTCTTAGAAAAGCACAGAGCCCACTGGATGCCCCCACCACTAGTGGCGCTTGGATTTGGCCGACGGGGTGTGCAGGGGAGATTCTCCTGTCGGGAAGACCGATTAACCAGACGACAACATAAGTGGGCTGGACTCTGCACTCCGGAACCCCTAAAATAGTCCAGGGGCGAAGCCACTGAAAACTCATACAATTTAGTAATTTAGAAGGCTGTTTTCGATTTTTACCTTACATTCTGTAAAAGTTACATATACTTTTATTTCTGACCGACGAATAGTGTTTTTCTTCCCGAAGTGTAGAGTGGGGGAGGGGTGGTGTGGAGGGCGTTCTCAACGACGGCAGCTTCCGCTCAAACCTCACCCTCTCTAAAACAAACTGGCGTCTCCACTAGCCCTGCCCCACAGACTCACAAACAAAAACAATGTAACAGAAAACAATATAGCAGTTGAGTCATAATCATCATTATTATCATCATTATCATAACCACGATAATAATTATAATAGGCCTAATTACCATATTATCATTATTATTGTCTTTTTATAATTATTATTATCATTAATAATTATAATAATTACCATATTATCATTAGGCCTATTATTGTCTTTTTATATTATTATCATTATCATTATTATTAACATTATTATTACAGAAGTATTACTTTATTTTGTGTTTATTTAATTAAAGATTTCTATATGACAAGGCTTACTGATATTCCCATAAAATTAAGGTCTTCAATTGCATCCACGAACATTTCTCGTAAGTGATGAGTGTTGTTATAATCAAAATCCGCGATGCTAATGTTTGACTGTGTGGCTTCCAATTGGTTTTGCGTTCGATTCAACACCATTGCTATCGTCCACAGGGCATCGTATCCGTAAGGTGCATACTCTTCTCCCGGGGGGTCAATGAAATGTGTTCGATTTAAATAAATCGATTGATATTCATTTGGGGTCTGTGAAGAATGAAAGCAGGTGTGTAAATTAAGATGATATCGATGAGCACATTTAAGTCACACAATAATAATAATAATCGCAAGAAGACCTCCTAATGGCATTGGCAATCTTATAAATTTGAACGCCGTGGTAATATCAGTTACGCTGATTGTTAAGTTGAACTCAAAAATTCGTTTTGCTACGGGAAGTACAGACTGTTATATTTCAAAAACTTTTATTCAAACGAATTAGTTCTAAACACTTCATCAGCGCAGCTAATATATTGCCACGTTGTTCCATTTACAAAATTGCCAATGCCATTAAAAAGTTTGTAAGGCCTGCTTTTGATTATTTAATATTAATTAGTGAGGTCCTGATATTGAAAATTATTGATATTTCAATTCATTAGGAGAGGTACGTGTTACAGAGTTGTGACAAGTAATTTGATAAGTACACCGACGTTTTGCAAATGGTCATAATAATTAATCAAAGAGGAGATAGAAATCAAAACACAAGCATAGATAAGCTAGATGCGATTACGTTAATGATAAAACAATACGAAGAGTAAGGCACGGATAAGCAACGCAACACCTTAATGACCT